CTCTTATCAGATATATAATTTGCAAATATTTTCCACTCTGGGGTTGACTTTTCACTTTCTTGATAGTGTCCTGTGAAGCACAAAAAATTTTTAATTTGGGGCCGGCCCGTGGCTCACTCAGGAGAGTGCGGTGCTGATAACACCAAAGCCCCGGGTTCGGATCCCATATAGGGATGGCCGGTTCGCTCACTGGCTGAGCGTGGTGCTGACAACACCAAGTCAAGGGTTAAGATCCCCTTACCGGTCATCTTTAAAAAAAAAAAAAAAAATTTTAATTTGATGAGGTCCAATTTATCTACTCTTTGAGTGCTTATGCTTTTGGTGTCATATCTAAGAAAATATTGCCCAGTCCAAGGTCACAACAATGTACATTTATGTTTTCTTATAAGAACTTTATAGTTTTAGCTCTTACATTTAGGTCTGTGACTCCTTTTGTGTTAATTTGTTGTATGACATGAGGTAGGGTCCAACATCATTCTTTTGCATGTGGATATCCAGTTGTTCCAACACCATTTGTGGAAAGGACTATTCTTTCCCCCATTGAACTATCTATGGCCCTTCTTAGGCCGGTCCTTTAGTCCTGTGGCTTCATCTTCTGTCCCATCCTCATCCCAGCTTGCCCTTAATCTCCAGACCTTCTTCTCTCTCACCTCACGCCCACTTCTGTGCATGCTGTTTTTTCTACCAGAAAATCTCCCTGCCCGTCTTCCCACATCACCTGGCTGTCTTCCCAATGATCTGGCAGATCTAGGCTTAGACGTCACATCTTCCAAAAAGCGTTTCCTAAGTCCCCCCAAATGTTTTAGGAACAGCAGTTCTGTGTTCCCTAGGGCCCTGTACTTAACCCCAACATGATTCTTAATATACCTGTTTGTATCCCCCCACCCAATCAAAAAAACACCTCTTCACAGACAGGTCATTTTTTTCTGCCTAGCACATAGTAGACACTCAATAAGAATGAACAAATCCTAGAAATCAAGTGCTATGAGTCAAATGCGTCCCCCAAAAGTTCATGTATTGGAAAGCTGGTCTCCATTGTAACAGTACTAAGAGGGTGGGAAATCCAACTATGGTGTTTGAGAGGTGGGGCCTTTGAGAGCTGAACTCATGAGGATCATGAGGACTGTGCCTTCATGAATGGATTAATCCATGCACGAAGTAAAGAGTTATCATGGGTGTGACGGCTTCATAAGGAGAGTGAGTGAGAAGGTTAGCTCCCTCACTCTTGCCATTTCTTGCCTTGTGATACCCTGTGTCACTGCAGAGAGTCACCACCCAGAAAGAGGCCCTCACTATATGTGTTCACTGGACTTTGGACCTCCCAGTCTCCAAAACTGTCAGAAATAAATTTTATTTTCTTATAAATTACCCAGTTTCAGGTATTCCATTATAAGCAACAGAAACCAACTAATACATGGAGGAAGAAGATGGTTACAAGGAGGAGGACATAATTAGCATTGTGTATTGCTGCACACAGCTAAGCAGGATGAGATCTGAAAAATGCCACTGGGTTTTGACCACTTTAATAATTACAGATAGGGAAGAATTTCAGGAGTATTGTGGATGTTAAGGAGTGATTGCTGAGAGAGAGTGAAGCTCTCATTATAAACTATTTATGCCCGTTTGTTGGTGAGGAAAGGAGGGAACTAGATTGGCACTATGATACAACTTAAAAGCGTAGACTTAAGGGTTTAGTTTTATTGCTATACTCCCATTTGCTACTTTCCTGAACTTCAGAGAATTGGACTTTTTTGGGGGAAGATGGAGCAACTGGTGGGTACAGGGAACTGAACCTTTAAAAAAAATTTTTTTTTATCAATATACAATGTAGTTGATTTTTGTGTCCCTTTACCAATTCTTCCTTTTCCTCCTTCCCTTTCCCCCCTTCCCCCCATCAACATCATATCTGCTCACTTGTCTTAAGAATTTCAAGGAATTGTTGTGATTGTTGTGTCTTCTTTTTTTTTCACCCTCCCATTTATTTGTTCATATATTTATTTTTATTAACTCCCACAAATAATTGAGAATATGCGGTATTTCTCTTTCTGTACCTGATGAACCCTTGATCTTGGTGTTATCAGCATCATGCTCTCCCAAGTGAGCTAACTAGCCAGCCCCAGAGAGTTGAACTTCTAATGAGAATCCCTCTCTTGGCCTCTTATGATGTCATCGCCCTCCCGTTTATTTGTTCGTATATTTATTTTTATTAACTCCCACAAATAATTGAGAATATGCGGTATTTCTCTTTCTGTACCACCCTCCCATTTATTTGTTCATATATTTATTTTTATTAACTCCCACAAATAATTGAGAATATGCGGTATTTCTCTTTCTGTACCTGTCCTATTTCCCTTAATATAATTTTCTCTAAGTCCATACATGTTGCTGAGAATGGTAGTATTTCTTTCTTTCTTTTTTTTTTTTTATAGCAGAGTAGTATTCCATTGTGTACATATGCCACATTTTCCTTTTCCACTATGATGTCAATTTTAGGAACTCCCCATGATGTCATCACTGTACCTCTTATTATGCTATAGTTCACCCCCGCCTCTGACTACGTGTGAACATATAACTGTATGTGTACACACACACACACACACACACACACACAGAGCTAACTAGCCAGCCCCAGAGAGTTGAACTTCTAATGAGAATCCCTCTCTTGGCCTCTTATGATGTCAATTTTAGGAACTCCCCATGATGTCATCACTGTACCTCTTATTATGCTATAGTTCACCCCCGCCTCTGACTACACGTGAACATATAACTGTATGTGTACACACACACACATACACACAGACACATACACACACCCTGTATTTAGGCTAATCCCATGAATCTAAAGATTCTGGGAGTGACCAAGGTCTTTCCTCAAATTGGGCTAAGCTATGTCTGCCTCAGCAAAAGATATTCTATGAGAGTTGCTTGTTTGGGTAGAAAAAGGAAGAAACAAGTCTCTAACATCTTGGTGGCACCAAAGAATGATAGTCTTCTCTTTCTGCCCCTAATTCCCTTGCAACTCCTCTGTGTCACTCATATGGGCTAGTGTGAACATATAACTGTATGTGTACACACACACATACACACAGACACATACACACACCCTGTATTTAGGCTAATCCCATGAATCTAAAGATTCTGGGAGTGACCAAGGTCTTTCCTCAAATTGGGCTAAGCTATGTCTGCCTCAGCAAAAGATATTCTATGAGAGTTGCTTGTTTGCGTAGAAAAAGGAAGAAACAAGTCTCTAACATCTTGGTGGCACCAAAGAACGATAGTCTTCTCTTTCTGCCCCTAATTCCCTTGCAACTCCTCTGTGTCACTCATATGGGCTAGAATGAAATGGCTTCAACATTTTAATTTTCATACCCTTAACTGATTTATCTTCAGCTCTGACCAGCTTCCTCCCAGAGGTAGATATGCCTGATCATGAGACCACCAACCTGACTAGCTTTCACCACCAGCCTCACGCAGCTCACATGGTACCCCATATTTATCAGGAATATCTTCTGATCCATCTGCCCTTCCAAGAGATGGCCCAGCAAGGCAAAGCTGGTACAGTGCCGAGACATCCCCTGGGGGGAGTAGCCCAGCTCCACATGCCCCTTCGCGAGGGCATACTCTCCATCCACGATGGAGCCTGTCAGCACTTGCACTCTGCTGAGATTTGCTGGCTGGTTCAAAATCACTGTCAGATGGTTCCCGACACTAACGTTGTATGTCCAAAAGAATGATTCGTCCAGAGTGTAGGCCTCCCAGGGGAAATGAACATCAGAAACCTTCATATCAGTGAAAACGGCTCCAGGTGGGTTGTCAGGCCCATAAGCGTTCTTTTTCAGAAACGTGGCATTCTTCTTGTCATTAAAGGTAGGATAGGAGATCCTGTGGTAGAAGAGGAACGGCTTGCAGAGGATTGGGTTTTCCTGGACCAGGAGGGTACGGAAATGAGGGATCAGCCTGTCAAGGGGTTTCTCCTTGTAGAAGAGGAGGAGGAAATGGGCCAGGAGTGGGAGGTCCCTGCTGTGGAAGAGTTTGCCAAGGAAGCCCATATTTGAGAATTCCAGTAGCACCCATGGGATGGACTTCATGGTGGTCACCTGCAAATAAATGTGGGTGACAAAGTTGGGGGCACAAAACACATTGTCCTCTATTAAGAGGAAGTAATCAGAGAGCTTTGTGGCAAAGCTCATGAGGAAGGCATGATCTATGTTCTCCTTGGAGTAGAATTTCCCATGATGCCCATCAGTCCTTATGCCATCCACAGTGGGATAGGCATCGGATGGAGCGTGGATCAGTAGCAACTGCCCTGCCAAGATCTGTGGGCTGAAGAGGCTTGAAATATGGGCAACAGTGTCTCTGAGCCAGGTGAGGTCAGAACCCGCCAGGTGGACCAGCACTGTGAGATGTTTCCGCTCAGCCTTAGAAGAAGCGCGGAACATGGAGACCAATGTGTACACAAGGCTGCTCCGATCCTGTCGTGGCACTGAAGAGATCCCCACCGTCAGCCATGCTAAGGAGAGGTAAAACAGGGACAACTGTCAGTGTATGGTGACAAGGGTTGTTGAAAGGGTTAGGGGTTGGATGCTATTTGGGACCTGCTCTCTCCCTTTCTTCCCTCTCCTGTTTCCCTCTGTTCTTTCCTTTGGCAGAGGGGATGTTTACATCCTTGCTACTCAAAGTGGGGTTCTTAGTCCAGCAACATCAGCCTCATCTGCAAGCTTATTAGAAATCCAGAATCTTGACCCCCCCCACCTCAGATCTAGTTAATCAGAATCTGCATTTTAGCAATATCATGACTTGTATGTACATTAAAGTTTGAGAAGTACTAAGCTAAGTGATGCTGAATCCCTGTGGGTCCCTCTGAAGTCTTCTTTGAGTCTAGAACTTTGGGTCGCATGGTTTAAGTGCTCAATAAACATTAGCTGTTATTATAGTTATTATAATTCTTTTTTGATTTTTTTTTTGTTTTTGGTGGCTGGCTGGTATGGGGACCCAAACCTGTGACCTTGGTGTTATAAGGGTGCACTCTAACCGACTAAGCTAGCCAGCCAGCCCCTATAATTGTTTTTTTGTACCCAGCTCATCTTCCCAAATCTCTAATCCAGTGATTTCACCTTCTTATAACAACTAACTTTACCTTTTCCCTCCTCCTTCCTCATACCCCTGATATATAAATGTCTTGGGGAGCAGGGAGAGAATTTTCTGCTGGATTCAAATATTCCTAGCCACGGTTCTGCCTTTTCTCCTCCCCCCTTCTTCTTTCCTTTTTAACTACCTTACCTTTCCTGATGCCCCTATTTCCCCTGGGATACTCCATCCCTCCCCCTCCTTGGCACTCACTCTTTCTTCTCTGCTGGATTTTTTCCATATATTTGAAGGTGAGATTCTGCCAGTCTTCTAGTGGTCTGTCCTTCTTAGTGCTATAACTGACCTCCTGGGGCATTCACAAAGGCAAAACATATACCTCCTTCAATAAAAAGAACTGAGTTTATCCCCCAGTGGCTGCCCATAAGCTTTTCTAGGGAAAAAAGTGGAGTAGACCACTCTCAGAGTGAGCCCAGCACATTCTCAGGACGCCTGGCCATTGGCCAAAGTATCCCGTGCTTAAGCGGTATTTGCTCTCTTCTTCACCTTAACAAATATGAGAAATAAATGCTGCTTCTTTATGATCTAATGGGTCCGGGTTTATGCCCCAATTCCCTTTGGAGCCTCCTACTCTCAGGTGGAATGGCACAGGAAGAAGGAAAGCCCAGGTGCTTTTGTGAATCTGCCTGTCCACACCCTTCCCACCCAACATCCCCGATTTTCAAACTGGGGGCGAGGATTGCTACTTGGCCTTTGATAGTCATCACATTTTGGTCATCTTCAATTTCTCTGGGGACTTTCAAAGTGATGAAGAGCCACAGGAATGCGATGCCCACTGTGGTTACGAAGCAGTGCCTGATGGAGAACTTCATCGTGTCTGCGTCAGGATGTGGTTCCTATGGCAAGAGGTCAACATGTACAGGTGGAAGACTCCTTTCCTTCCGTGCCTAGAACCTCCCTTCTGTCCTTTGGAAGGCTATCCCCACATATACTGCCCCTTGCCCCCCGTATTCTGTCCTTTCTCATCATTGTTAACTTATGTGCAAGTGCACTCTCTTATATGATCTAGGAACCTGGTGGAATTTAACCTTATTCCTTTCCTAAAGAAGGGAGTCACCTGTCCTGTGATGACATTTGCTGCATTCAGTTTGTTTGGAGGTTCAACTTTCCCAAAGTTTCTCCTACTCAAAAAGATGAGGGTCGGCTGGGGCCTTAGTGACATGGTCAGTTTATCTGAGAACACGGATGCTCATCGTGCCTCACCCATCCCCACTCCCACTTTTTTAAACAAAAATAAAACTATTTATTAAAATAGCTAAACTTGAAGTATTGCTAAGTGCTATGCCAAATTGGTGCTTTTCTTACTTTTTAAAATAAAAGATATCCTTAATTTATTCCAATTTTTAACCTCATTCACAGACCTTGATTAGAACATGATTCTGTTAACTTAGGTCAAAAAAAAAAAAAATCCTTTCATGAATGTTAGGTTATTGGAATTTAGGCTGGCTCAGCCTCTAAAGTGCTCGTGTGATGCTCGCTTCCTCTTTCAGTGTCTTTTCTCTAGTGACAATGTGTTTCTCTGATTGCTCCTAGATTATCAGAGGAAAGGCTTTAATATGCCTTGTCACCTGCTCTTGATTATTTCCTTGCATGCTCAGTACATAAATAGAAAAGAAATTGTAGTCAGTAATTCCCATGCTCCAGAGGCTATAATATTCTCCAATCTTCCCAATTTTCAGGCATGCCTCCCAGTTTAGTATTTTGTGGAGGTTAACATGCTTCTCTCCCTTAGCCATTTAGCTTTTTGATAAGAGTCATAAAAAGAATGCTTATATATGGTAGCAAGTTTTTACAGATTAAACTTTCCTTACCTGAGTTCCTTAATCAAAGACTTTTAGTCACACAGGTGATTCAGATACAAGCGTCTTCATATAAAAGAAATAGACTTCTCTAGACCATAAATACATGGATACATACACTGAATAAAGAGGCTTTATGATTGCAGTTAAAGGATTTCACCACCACAGGCATAGCTCTGTTCCCTGTCTGGATCTCCCATGTAGTTTACCAGTCCCAGGGGGAGGACAGCTCTCACTCAGTCCTCTGAGTTCGACGGGTTTCTGGAAGAGGCAGGCGAGAGAAAAAGAGTAAGAGGAGCAGAGGTGATGAGGACCAGTCCCTCTAGGAGTAATGAGCGAAAGGTGAGGCACCATAAGCTGAGTTCTCCTCAGCTTTCCACCCTGGAGCTAAGCTCCCTCTGTGATGTTGTTCCTGTGACCTGTCCACCTACTCCCCTACCACAGGAGGTAAACATGCACAGGACTTACATGTGATATGTGCATGCATCATAATTGGTAGCTATGAACTGAGTAGCTGAACTTCAAGATTAGATGGGTATGAGTAGGGGAGACTATTTGATTGTATTAATCAGGGATCTACACAGAAACAGAAACAATAGGATGTGTATATGTGTATGCAAATATATAGAGAGTTATTTTAAGGAATTGGCTTATAAAACAGTATTTTCTCACAATTCTGGAGGCTAGAAGTCCGAAGTCAAAGACTAGACAGAATTGTTTTTCTTTCTGAGGCCTCTTTCCTTGGCATGTAGATCGCCATCTTCTTCCAGTATGTTCACATGGTCTTCCCTCTGTGTATGTCCGAGTGTACCTTTTCTTTTTGGGGTGTGGGGAGTGCAGCTGGCCCATACAGGGATCAAACCCTGGACCTTGGTATTATCAGCACCATGCTCTAACCAACCGAGCTAACTGGCCAGCCCCTCTGTGTACATCTTTTTGAAAGCTGCCTAAACAGCAGGAAAAACTAATCTTGAAGCAGTACTTTTTCAAACTGAGGGTCACAGTCCATTATGGGATAACAAATCAAATTATTGGGTCTCAACCAGCATATAAGTACATCACATCACTGAATAAAGGTAATTATTGTTTTGTGAAACTTTTGTTGCTTTTGCTGTGTAAACAAAAGTACTGGAGATTACAATCAAAGTTTGAAGACACTGTGGCCTAGAGGGGAGAGATTGATGTTGGCAGGTTAAGGGGCAGGTGGTGAGATTTGAGAAGAGGCTTCGATGTCCTCTCCTCTGCTTTAGAGAAGTCAGCTTGGTGTTTTGGGAAGATCAAAGACTGGTGCTAGGTGCACCGTTCTAGTTCCAGCTCTGCTATTATTATCTGTGTGATTTTGGATAACTAACCTGAGTCTCAATTTCTCCATCTTAAAAATGGTGATGGGCCGGCCTGTGGCTCACTCGGGAGAGTGTGGTGCTGATAACACCAAGGCCACAGGTTCGGATTCTATGGTTCGGATCCTATATAGGGACGGCCGGTTCGCTCACTGGCTGGGCGTGGTGCTGACAACACCAAGCCAAGGGTTAAGATCTCCTTACCGGTCATCTTTAAAAAAAAAAAAAGGTGACAATACTACCTACTTCACAGGGTTGACATGTCCAGTAGACTATGAATTACTCCAGGCCAATGGCCCTGTCTTATTAATGTTAGAGGAGTTTTTCTTTGTTCATATATCACCCTTATGATATATGAAGAGAAGAGAAAAAAGGGAATTACATTTAGCATTTAGTGTGTCACACCCGGTGCTGGACACTCAGCATGATTTAGTTGAACATGAAAGATGTGGTGCTCTGTAAAGTTCTGACACGGTGTTGCAGCCATTTTTATCCTTTTGGAAGCTTTTCTGCCCAGATATAGGGAATTCCAAACATTCCAGCTATTCAAGGCCATAGAGCATGTTGAGAGGGGCTCCTCAGCCCAGAGATCTAAGTTAGGAGTGCTGGTGGTGCCCTGCACGATGGAAAGGAAGCACGGGTTTCCCTCTCAGCCTCTCTCAGCAGCACGTCCAGGGCTTCTAAAGTGGCCCAACCGGAACGGGAAGAAACACGCCCTGAAGCCCTGGCGTGGGTATCTCTGCCCCTCCCAACCCCTATGGGCAGGGCTGGCAGCACCGTGGGAACGTCCCACTTGCCAGTGCCTGACCCAAACAAGGGTCTAGCCCTTCAAGTCCCTCACCCAGGTAAACCAAAGCCCAGGACTGAAGGTGCAGTTATCTTGGATCTCAATTGGGCTGAGTCTGCAGAGAGGGGATTCCAGGACTGGAGAGGAAGAGGAGACGGGGAAGAGGAGGAAGAGGTACTTAGTCACCAGGTACCTCCTTGGGACCCAGACCCAGCTTTCCAAGGACAGAAGCCCAGAGATGAGACCCTTGTCATGGGTGAGCGGATCCCCAAGGGTACCCTCCCACCCCATAGCTTGGGGTGGGGCAGAACAGGGAGCATAGAAATCCTGCGCAGAAGGTGATAGCATAGGATGGTTGTTTGTTCCGGGGACAATTAAGCAGGGCGGGGAAACGGGAGTAAGAGGCGTTTATCGCAGTTGTGGTGCCCATCCATTGTGTGGGCTCCCCAATACCTCACCTCTCATCTTTTGTGAAATTCCCTCCCGCTTGGTGTGGGCAACCACATTCTTCTCGTCCCGCCCAAAGCTCGATCCTCAGCCAATTGGAACCACAGAAACTCAAGGCCATTTCCCCTCCCCTTAAACAAATATTTGTGGAGCGTCTGCCACGTGCTTAGTGCCAGGGATAGGGACATTATTCCTTCCCTCTAGAGGCTTACAATCTGGTTGGAGAGGCACGTGTAGAGGGAGCAGTCAGGGAAACCGGTGGAAAAAAGACAAATACCGAGTTAGAAGTGCAGTGATAGAGGTAGTAATACACGTTGTGGGAATACACAAATAAAACAAGGTGCGCACACTCAAGGGTTTGTGGATTTCCGCAGGGGACGTCTGACACCAAACATTCCAGGGCACCAGCGGCGATGAGCTGAGGGGCTGAGGTGGATTGTGAAGGGGCCGAGGGAAAGCCCGTGCATCGGGGGAAATGAGGATCAACAGGGCTGGGAAGGGAAGGGTGGTGGTAGGAAGGACGCGCACGCGAAAGCGCAGAGACCGAGGTCTGGGCGGAAGGGAGGCGCACGGGCGATACCGGGAGCCCTGGAAAGTCGTCTGAGTCGGAGGCGGCGGCGGGGGTGGGGAGCGGGCCCCACACGTGCGCTACGTGCTGCGCCGGCCGCCGCCCCCTTCCCGACCGCTGGGGAGCCGGGCCTGCCCCCCTCATCCCGGGGCCCAGTCCCGCAGCAGTGCACAGGGGACGGGGGACAGAGAGGGGATGGAGAAGGCGGTCCCCCGAGTTTGGAACCCAGGAGCGTGACCTTCCAGTCGCGGCGACCGGAAGGAGCTCGGGGAGTGTCTCATCACCAGGCGGGCGGATCTAGGGGCGAAGGCTGCAGATGTGGGGGCGCCGATCGCGAGATGGGGTCGGGCAGGTTGCGAGCTAGAACTCCGGAGGCTGAGTGGATCGGATGAGGATGGAGACCCCTAGGAATGTGTCCAAAGGACCCAGAGTTGCACAAGTGCGGGTGGTTTGGGGGACGGAGGCCCGGACGGGGGCGGGGTGTTGTCCAGGAGTAAGGAGGGGGTTCCTGGAGACGTGGCACTCGGAGCGGGGCTTGGTTCCGCTCCGGCCGCCAGGGCTGCAGCCCCGTCTTCCCCCGGGAACCCGCCGCCGCCCCCGCCCCGGCCCCGCTCCCAGTCCTCGGCCGCCAGGGCTGCAGCCCCGTCTTCCCCCGGGAACCCGCCGCCGCCCCCGCCCCGGCCTCGCTCCCAGTCCTCCGGGAGCTCCGGCCCCGGCACTTCCAGGCTAGGGTTGCCCAGGTCCGGCCTCTGGGGCGTCCAACCGGCCCCGGACGAGACAATGCGGCCCGGGCCCCGCCCCCGGAGGCTGATGCGGCCCGGGCCGCGGCCAATCACAGCCTGTGGCTAGGCTCTTTAAAAAAAGAAGAGCCGGCCGCGGTGTGGCTGTCAGCTGGCAGGGATCCCTCCGCCCATGTAAACACACATCATAAAGGGCAAGGGGAAGCGTCTTCTGTGGGGCGGAGGAGCTGTCGCTTCCCCGGAGAGCCCTCTCGGTCCCTAGGTTCCCCTCACTACCCTGGCAACCGCCCCCTCCCTTAACGTCACCTCGGGTCCACGAGGAGCCAAACAGCTGCTGCTTGATCGAGGAGCAGTAGAATCTCATCACTTAGGGTCACTACCGGAAATGGAGGAAGCGGGACTGGGAGACCTTGAGAGTTGGAAGCGAAAGGGGGGTCCCAAGACACAACTGGGAAGTGGGAAACATTTCCTGAAGCTTGTTGTGTTTGCCTCAGTTAAATAATAGTCGTAATTCATTTATGTCTAAAATTTTTCTCAAAGTTAGAACTACCTGGCTTGTAGGGTGCCAACGTTAAGGGTGAAAACAGTCTTAAGGCTCTTCCAAGAGAGAGCACATGACAGGAAATCAACTCCAGCGAGACCCTCAAAAGCACAGAACGCCCACAGCAAAGAGCGGCAATAATGATTTTTCTCCCCAACGTTTTATTATGAAAATTTAAAATATTCAACAAAGTTAAAAAGAATTTTGCAGCAAATTCCTCTATCTCCACTTCCTAGATTCTACTATTAGCATTTTATTATAATGCCAGCTGCCCTCTCAGCTTGAGTCTCTATTGCAGTAGGGATCAGGAAAAGGCTCACCAAGGTCCCAAAGCCTTACAGTGCCAAGAAAAGGATTACCTTCTCCAAGGACCGCTGTGAAGTCTTTGGGGGGCCAGATACCTCTGGGAAAAGTTTATTGAAGAGGAGGCCTTTTTTCTTTCTTTCTTTTAAATTGAGAATCTTTAAGGATAAGAGACTTTCTTTCTCTAGGTGACTCTGAAAGCATAATTAGGGCTCCATTAATCCCTCCGTAAGGAGATCCTGGCATACAGTCCTTCCATGAATTTGGCTGCTTTTTGGATAAAAGAGGTCATTTCAGTGTTGAAGTTCTACTTTTTGAGCTTCCTCTCTCCCTTTTC